AGCACATCCAAATTTGGTGGCATTTCTGACGCACGGTGGTATGAATAGCATCACAGAAACGCTAAACCGTGGGAAGCCAGTCATCGTGGTACCCTTCTATGGTGACCAGATACGTAACGCTGTTCTGGCAAAACGGGCCGGTTTTGGGATAATGCTACCGGTTTCGGATCTTCAAGATGAGAAGAAACTCAGTGACGCGTTCGAGCAGATTATCAATGATAAAAGGTAAAATTAATTTCTTGTTTCAGTTCTTCATGAAGCAACGACAATTTTCTTTCGCACGAGCAAATATTGCAGAACGAAATTGCTTAAAATGGCATAAAATAACCTAGATGCAATATATCAAGCTTCCTGGCTTGAATGTTATCGTTTCTACGCTAAATTTGAAGCAGTCAGGTCATTAACTATATGAATAATCGTTGTTTGACATTTAACTTCGCAAATTTTGCATAAAAGAAAATGAACAATTACCAGTTACCGATCGTTCATTGAAAATGACGCAGTTGTTGAGGTTTCCGAGTTACCAATTTTCCTCCAGAATCTTCGTGTGCGCATACATGGGAATTGCACGCACCTAGATGCTGTATTTAAAATCTTTAAATTATACTTGGACAGGAACATCCCCTTAAAATTTCAGCTTTCAAATTTTTCAAGTTCTCATGTTGATAGTTTGGCGTCAAAAATTTCACGTATCTGTAACTAGTATTCGAATGTGCGTAAAAGCTGATTCCTGGCATAATTTTTAGCTAGAGGGCTAACTGGCAGAATTGTAGCGTCGATACTTACCCGGTTACAGAGTTGATATTCCCTGACAGTCAGATATACACATACATACATACATACATAAATACATACATACATACATACATACATACATACATACACACACACACGCATACACACACAGGTATACATATATCCCAAGGGTCGTCACAATATGCGTTTTTGCATTTGTAAAAATATGGAAAATCGCATAAAAATTGAAAGTCTTTAAGAGCAGTGAGTTTCACTTTTGAACAGTGATTAATTTCTTATACATTTTTTGGCAAGCCCAACGCCAGTAATATAATTTCTTTAACACGTAGTTTATCCTGATACCAACTATAGAGAAAGTTTTAAATTATTTTTAACTTGCTTTCAACTGAATGATATTCGTTAGATACCGCAGAAAAATACGATTATTCCTTTTTTGTATCGCTGCGCTTCCATCTCTTGTAACAAGTGAAATATACGAAAGTTCTATTACCCAAAGTTACGTTTTTTTGCTAAACACTGCTTTAAATTTCAGGTTTACGCAAAAAGCGGAGCAGCTGTCCAGAATGATAGCAAAAAGGCCGAACTCAGCCAAGGAGCAGTTAATAAGGCACGTGGAATTTGCCGCTGAATTTGGCCAAATCCCGAATTTTGACCCATACGGCAGGAAGATGTCTTTCATATCGTACTTCATGCTTGACATCATTGTTCCATTCATTACAGCTGCTGCGCTTGTATTCGCTTTGCTTTGCTGCATGTGCTATAGATTGTTGAAGAAGCTTATCCTAAGAAATAATAGTAGAAATGAGCCTCAAACTGCCAAAAAACAGCAGTAAAAAGAAGCATAATGAAGTTCCTCTGTTTGTACTTTTTCTAGTTATTTTAATTTATATGTTCCTCAGTGCTTCTACTGCGAAATAGATAAAACTGTAATGAGTGCAACAGTGAATAGCAGCCGAGGCATTGAACCGTTCAAAGTTTCCTTGGCGCAAATGCCGTACCAGATAGTAATCATTGGTGACGCGAACCGGGCGATCCCGTGCTATCATGCGTTTTTGCAGCGTTTCGTGCTGTTGCAAGACCGCTTAGATACGATATGCTGGCCCTCGAACTTCGGGAAATAAATTGTGCAACTACTTGATACTTGGTCAGGGAACATCCCTTCAATATTTCTGCCTTCCAGCTTTCTGGTTGTTGAGTTGAAAAAGGTGACAAAGTTCGCTCGCTCAGAATGCACACACAAAAACACACACAGACGCGGACGAACTCTCGACAACATGTGTTTCTGCTTGCTGTTTTAGCGCTACAGCGAGCATAAAAACCAATCATGCAGTTAACGACTTGAGTACTTCAAGCCTGATACAAAAGCATGTGATCGCACCGGCAAACCTCGTGCATTCCAGTCTGTGTTTTGATTTCCTAACACACACCAGTAAAATTTAAATTCAAAGCGGAGTCGCAGCGGGGTGATCTTCGCAATAGCCAAATCGAACTACGGGTTTAGACGTGAGAACAAGTAGCTTTACTTAACATTAAGAGACCCTCCAGTAAATGTGCCAAAAATAGTAGGACTATTTCGCCATCACTGTGAGTATCCATATTAGTAATGTTACTTGGTTGCCCCCACACGGCAATAAATAGAAGACGTTTTAGGTGAAATGACCGAAACGTTTTCCCCTTTAGAAGTTGAGAAATTTAATACCTTAAAAATATGATTTTCGCACGAATCAATTTTGTTATTTTTCTGGATGGCAACTGAAACTGGTTCCAATGAAACATCTGGAACGAAGACATTTGTTTGCATAGCAATTCCATGTGACTCCTAAGAGCTTTACAGTGAGTTGCTGTGGCTGGACAGTCTGTAGATGAGATTTGAGATTATTATTTGCGTTGTATTGGAAACGGAGGCTGACTTTTCAAGTCAGTGCTGCTTTTTTTATGCGTTTTTGCATTTATGTAAATTGCAAAAACGCATATTGGGAAGAGGCTGTCTG